TATAAATTTCGTATTCCAATAATAACGGCAAATGTTTTCCTTTCATTTCTTCTTTTCTAAGTTTAATTTAGAAAAATTATATGCTAATTTTTCAAATAATCATAGCAAGTAAATAAGCAAAAAACCAAAAATTTCTTTTTTTTCCCGCTAGAAAACATACCATTAAAAAGATTGGAAGAAATTGTAGAACCAAAAGGAGCAATAACATTATCCTGGAAACCGGAAATGAACAAATAATAACAATAAAAATAGCATATCACATATGATATGACATTACCCGAGGGAAAGTACCGAGAGATGAGGACGGAGAAGAGGAAAAGGAAGGAGTGGTAACGGTACGGAGAGTGGAAAGGGGACAAAATGAGAAAATGAAGAAAACGGAGTATGAAAATGGCTTTGCATACGTTATAGTGTTAATGTCCTTGGCCTGGTATGAGCGGAAAAAGTTTTAGAGTAGGCAACTACCCGTTACGTAGGGGTTATATACCATCTTGTACAACGCAAAAAATATTCTTTTTCATTTAAAATTTTTAACCTTTTTTTGGATATGCCAAGACTTTGATCGTTTGATTTATTAAAATTTAGCAAAAACAACAAAAAAAAAATGAAAGGGAGAAATGTCCGATGTTAGTTAATAAAAAATACTAATTCGTTTATATTAGATTAGAATATTAATTCATTTCTATTAAAGAATACCATTCGTTTGTTCACTGTTTCCTTCTATATTTTTGTTATGTTAATTATTCCGATTTTATTGTTCATTTCCAGTTGCAATTATTGATTTCACTATGATTAACTAATTATATTAACTAATTTATTATCAATCATTTATTAATATTTAATCAGTATTGAGAATTAATCAAAAAATGAAATGAAATTGACGTGGAGGGTCATAAAAAATAGAAAGGAATAAATGTTGTCATCCAATTTTTCACTGAAGCTAATAGTCCAAAAATTTTTTTTTTAAAAAAAAAAAGAAAACAGGAGAAAAGAAAACAGAATGAGGAGTTATCTGGTAAATATTAACATGGATTACTGTGAATTCATCCCTTTCATTTTTTTGTTGGTGAAAAATTTGACCTGATTTTTTACTAATTTCCTCTTCATAATATTATTTGCGGTTTTGTTGAAGTGATGAAAGTGCAACAAATTGCATAGACAGAAAACGTTTTGAACGTTATTGAAATTAAATTCACGATAAAATGAGCAGTTTGCAGAGTTGGAAAAGAAAGAATGAAACAGAATAATTAAAAATAATGACATTATTAATCAATTTCTTATTTTAATATTATTTGTGGTTTTGTTGAGTCAATGAAAATGCAATAAATTGTGTGGAATGATTATTTTAATACTAATCATTTGGCACCATTTTCAGTCGAAAGGATATGATAATAAATGGTGCATTATTTGCCATCTGTTCTGCATTGCAAAAATAATAAATAAACATTGTTATTGATATTTTTCATTATCTTTATTGTCTTTATTTTTATGATCATCTTAATTTCTTAATCCTATGTTGCGCTTCTTCCACAACATCTCGAAGTCCATCTGTATCAAGCTCATCTAACAATACTCCAATAGCAGAAACAATTCGTGTTCTTCGATTACGCTGCAAATTAAAATCTTTAAATTTTATTGACATTTTAAAATTATTAACACAAACTATTATCTTACACTGAAGGGAATGTTTGTTGCAGGAAAAAAAAACATTGATTTTAAACTTAAACAAGGAAAAAAGCATTTAAACTTAAACTTACAGGTGTTGAATATGATATCGATCTCGGAAGACTGATACTACGTTGATGCCGAAAACGCGAACTGTAGAACTGTTTGAAATCATAAGGCATATTTTGCATACTGTAAAACATCATTGGATTCATCTTATCAGATGGTGATACTTTTAAGCTAAACAGCAATAATGCATCATTTGAATAATAATACTGCTTAAACTTATAAGTGATATTAAAATGGCTTTTAGCAGCTTATCAACGGCAATTAACAAGCTTGAAGAAATTTCCTAAAGTTATAACTTCAGAGAAAATTGTTAAGTAATATGAAATTATGGCAAACTATAAAAGTTGGATAAGATAAAATATTCAAACTAGTAGAAAATATTTCAAAGCAAAATTTATTTCAATCATTTGGAGTAGAAATTTGTTATAGCTAATACTAATTAGCATTTTAAACAAAATTTAAAAAAAGAAAAAGATGTGTGCATTAATTGAAGTAAATGAGAAACAAAGCCTTTTAGATAGCATATTCAAAAAGGGAACCAATTTTATTTATATTAAAAATTCGAAATAAAAAAATTAAAAGCATTAATTTTGTAAATATCAACTGTAAAATATAATATTCTTTTCTTATCAACATTCAATGGTAGTTCTTTCATTAATAATCAATTATTTCAAAATTTAATTGCAATTTACACAATATATATTTTTATTACGCAAATACTTGCTTAAAATCTTGCCATAAATTTCGATTAGTATTATTTTCCATTTCAACATTTCTTTCATACATAGATGCAACCAGCAGTTTAGAAGATTGCTGTTGAATGTGTTCCGGATCATGCGCTAAATTATTCGACATTAATTCTGGAAAAAGAGGATGATTCGGAATAATCTTATCAATAACCGTTCTTTGATCATCTTGCCGATTAACTTCAGTGGCACTCAATAGCTCATCAATTGTTACCGCTGAAAAACATTTAAATCTGCAGAATAAAATCTTTATAGTTATTAAATAATTGTATATTCAACAATAGATATTAATCACAATTATTTCAATGGTTCTCGAATAATGGTGACAAAGATCACAATAACAATTGAAATAACGGTGACAAGAATTGCAACAACTGCTGAATAATTATAATCAGCCAATTTTAATTTTCACTGTACAACAAAAAGTTCAATAATGTTAACTTTTTGTAATTAATGAAATGTCATTACTAGTGTAATACATTCGAGTAAATTTATATTTCAGTAAGCAAATTACATAATGACTAAATTTACTTACGTTTATCATCTAAACGTGCAAGATTAGGTAAAATTCGTAAAACTTTTGCACGATGTTTGTTATCAGCCGTACATGGATTTTCATCAATCCGAAGAATTTTCAACAGCTTCAAATTCCTCAGATGCTCCAATTCACTTAGACTGCTAATTTCGTTCTCACGGAGGTACAATTCTTCGAGTTGCATACAATTCTCTAATGGTTTTAAACATTTCACCCTATTCATGCTAAAAATTATTTTACATATGTTAATTTAAAGTAACCATAAACAATATTTCAATCAATGTTTTAGTTAATGGTTTTTAATGAAATGTGTTAATCGATAGATCATTAAGCTATGTGTTTTAAACAACGGATTGTGTGTTGCAATGAATACTTCTTAACCAATCTGTTACATCATATTTTCTCTCTCTTTCTCTTTCTCTCTCTGACTCTCTACGCTATCAAACCCCAAATTTCTTAAACAGAAAAGAGAAAAAACCTCAGAGAAAGGATTTGCAAATTGATCATCTGAGAGCAAAGATCGATATTATCGATATCACAGCCCCTGAAATACTTATGTAATAACGTAACGCAAACCACATATTTTTCAATGATTTCCATTTGAAGCGGGAATAAAATTGGAACTTTTTTCACTTCAAAGCATGGAACTATTTCGACATATTAACTGATATCACCGAGATATTAACTGATATATATATACATATATATATAAGATTAATTCAATTAATTTTGTTGAATAAGTGAATAATTACAAATATAAGAAATATGTCTAAATGAAATATCTATTCATTTTTTAGCTAAAATTTTTTATAAGCAAAAAATTACCATAAATTCAGTTTTCGAACAGATTCTACGGTAATTTTGGTACGATTGTAAACGATCGATTCGGTTAATCGAACCATATTATTTCGTGGTGCTTGTATGTAAAGGCTAGAATGGTTGACGAAGTAGCAGTTGATGGTGATGATGCTCCAATGCTATGCCTAAGCTGCTAGGCCAATTGCTATGCCTAATATCCGAGGGCCTTTTGAGTCAATCCATTGTTGCATTAAAAGCTTACCAGGCTAATGCAAACTAGTGCAAAAAGCTTGCTAGCAAAGCGATCAGAAAGAATTCAATGGGGATTTATTGCTTTATTATGTCCATCCTTCATTCCATCCAATCTTACTAAACCAATAATTTCTTTCAGTGGTAAAAGTATATTGATAAGACAGGGGAAGAAAATATCATCTAATTTAGTAATTAAATTATTTAATTCTTAAATTTACATCATTGTTTAATCTTAAATCTTTCAAACATAATACATTTAGTTCATGTGCAAATGATATAGGCGAAGTCAAACGTTTTTAGATATTTCAAGAAATAGTGAGTGTTAAATCCGGATTTCTAATAAAAGCAATCTCTGACGAAATCTTTTGTCGTGTTTTGCAATAATTACAATTGGGGCATTATTTAGTTGCAACAGTCATTGAAAGTTTCAACCCGGTGCTTTCAAATATTTCGTAGAAAAATTGGACGTGTACCAACTTCTTACGTTTTGACGGTTGTCTGTTATCGTGTTGGCGTGTGCGAGTGTTACGTGTATATGAGTGTGTATGTGTACGTGTATCTGTGTACATAAGCATATGTATATGCATATACATATATAATTGTATACCTCTATGTATGTATATGTGTGTATGTTACACGTGTATGTATATGTCTGTATGTGTATATATACATGTGTATGCATCTCTGTGTATATGTGTGTGTGTATGTGTGTGTATTGCATGTGTTTGTTGCGTGTGTCGATGTGTATATGTCGTATACTTTGAATTTTCATCTTTTTTTGATATTAAATTTAGTCAGTTAATTCTTGCATATGTGGTTGTTTGTGCTGTATTTTAGATCGATAACGTTGGTATGGATATGTAGACATATATGTTTACACAGTTACTTAAAGCCTCGCTATCGGAAAATTCATATCATTATTTCTTTTTCTGTTGATAAATTTTTTCTCCATTCCGTTTTGTAAAATAGCAGTATTGTTATTCAGAGGTGGCGATGAGAAATGGAACCGTTAGGATCCGTGGACGTTTACGCAGACGATGTACGGCATCCTTGGCTGACAATCAAATCAGTCCTAGCGAAGAGGAAGCACCGATCATCAAGAAAGGTTTGCTACCATTATATCTACTGATGAGAGCTCAGTTATAACTTTTATATCTTGAACCTAGCCGGAAAGCTTTAGTTAAGATTTTTTGCATCTACTTAGAACAGTTATAAGACTGTCATAAAGGATTAAAATGAGTGTTATTAAGAAATTCAGAAAATTGGGATTTCCTTTAATGATTTTTAATTTTACCTAAAATCTTCTTTTGTTTGGACACCGGTTCTGAGACTTTGTTGCACTATGTACCGCAAAAATTTTTCTTAACGTGTAACTGATATGTGAGTTTTTTGATGTCTCATAGAAACATCATATTTTACTTCATCACTCTCCTGATTCGTGTTCTATTTGCTACATATTATTAATTTTTAGATGTAAATAAGGCACTTATTTCTCAGCGTTTATTACGTCTGCCTCGAAATGAAGTTGTTGGAGATCTGGACAATTTTTCTCAACGTCAGCACTTTACTACAGGTTTGCTCATAACTCACGAATCTTTTATCCTAGCTTTTTAGTTAAATTCGGGCTTAAAAAATTTAATGTTTTTAATCAACATTTGTGTTTATTTTGGTTTTAAATACTTATATCGTATTAAAGATTTTTGAAGCTGATCTAGAAATTAGCAATTTCTATCAGTCAATTGTTTGTATGCTTAGGTGTCCTTAACATTTATATGGCTTTTCAGACTTCGCAGAGAACAATGAAGATTCAGATAATGAGCAGTATTTGGCAAAGCGGAAATTTTATATTGTCGCTGGTGGTGAGTGGATGGAAGAAAATGAAATATTTTTATTTGAAAATTTGATGTGCAATGCTAATTTTTACCATCAAACTTTTCTCATTTTTTTTCAGTTCCTTTTATTTTTACAGTAGTTATCATCTTTCAGGTGGGGTTCCATCGGAATTATATAGAACAGATTTATTACACAGAATGAAACAGGAAGAAGATAGCGATGCGTCATCGGATGATGAAGCGGCATTTGTATCAATGAGTGATCGTTGGAAGGAAGAATGGAATCATGGTGTGCAGGTAACTTTTTCTTTTCTTTTTGTTTTTTTTTAAAATGTCTTCTGCTATTTTGAGCCGAATTATTGTATATCATCGTTGTAAACTTAATAAAATTTAGGTTCCACTGTGTAAGAAGTTACCAGATTTTGTTGTTCACCACTTTCCATGTTCCTCATCTTCACGAGTACGGCCACGAATTTTTCCGAAAAGGTGATTTCCGCACATATTTTTATAATCTTACTCAACAATTTTTAATTGCTTTAATTTTTGTTTTGCTGTTTCTTAGCGTTTTATTCTATGAAGGGATGGTTCATTGATCTCAGTTCATGATCGTCGATATATTGGTGATAAACACAAGCGTGTAATTATGCCGAAATTACGTAGTTATCAAGCAGATCGATTTGACCGTGTATTTTTGTCGAAATTAAATGAAAAACGAATCGCTGTTGGGTTGCCACTAATCAGTGAAAAGACTTTTGGCGAAGTTATGGATAAATTGGAGGTTTCTTGTTGTCAGGTACTATTTTTATTAAATTTGTTTGCACTGATTGGAAAACAGTTTAGTCTTGATATAATGATTTTATAGAGTCTTCGGGTGCATAATTTCATGACTCATATTGATTGAATGTTGTCTTTTATCCTGCATCTAAACATTTCAGGCAATATTTAGCGACCTCATTTCATCTATTGCTTCTCCTATCGCATCCGCAGATGCAGAATTTGATGAAAACGTTTGTTGTGATATATGTCGTCAGGTTTGTTTGCTTTTTAAATTGGCTTTTAATTCTGTAAGAGGAAGTTAGTCGACTACTTGGCGATCAGAATTATAAGTCTTCAGGAGATATCTATATTTGCTTATGAACTACGTAGTTTCTTCTCGCAGAAGAAAATCAATAATGTGGATGTCAATTATACTAATTTTTAATATTAATGTTATATATAAATTGTCGTATGTTAATAAAAAAGTCAGAGCTTTTATTTTCCCCTCATGAATAATATCTAAAATAAATGCTTGTCAGTTAGGGAAATGATGTTGCCTAAAAAAATTTCAGCCGGATTATGAAGAAGATGATAAAATTATATTCTGTGATGGTTGCAACGTGGGTGTACATCAGTCTTGTTATGGGCTCGATTCTGTCCCGTCAGATGAATGGCTTTGTCAGAAGTGCATGCTTCTTGGTTACAATGTAAAGTTTTTCATTTTTTGGAGAAATGTCAGTTAGAAATTCCAGATGAAGATAACATTTAAGCGTGATATATATCTGTGAACGCATACTGTCATAGTTACACTGATGGAATTTTATTTATCATTTCATATATATTTTCTCGAGTTTTTGAAATATTCGGTATTATTAAAATTTTTAAGGCCTTTCCTCAGTGCGTGCTATGTCCGCTTACTGGTGGTGCAATGAAGTGCACAAAAGAAGGCGACACGTGGGCACATATTGTTTGCGCACTTTGGATATACGAAGTGCGTTTTGCGGATGTTGTTCATCGTGAACCAATTTCGAATATTTGTGATATACCTTATGGACGGTGGATGCTCAGGTATAATCATTTCTCTGTTGTCCAAAATCGATGAAGACTTTATAAAAAAATCAGTTTACAACAGAAAAAAAATCATTTCCAGCTCACATCACTGGTTTCGGCGCATCACTTTTTATCATTGGCATGTTGCTTGCTAAGAATGGAGTTACTTTGTGTCTTTGTAAATTTTGATTTACTTTTTTAAATTAGATGTTCATTTCAACATAATTTAGATGTTCAGTATGTGGTACGAAGCAAGGAGCTTGTATTCAGTGTTCTGTAGAAACATGTACAACTGCTTTCCATGTGTGCTGTGCACTTCGCAGTGGACAGGTAAGCTGCAAAGTTGAACAGAAATCGCAGAACACAAGATACATGCATATTTACTTAATGAGTGGGCTTTCTTGCTTCGTGGCAAAGAAAAATTTAATTTCGGAAGTGTTTGGGAATAAGAGTATTAGGTATATGGTTTGTGTATTTACAGGATTGATTTTAAAGCAACCCGTATAGTAGTTTTCATTGAAAGAATTGAAGGAAAGAGATTCTTCACTTTTCTTAACCATTATATTCGCTTTCTAGTCGATTATATATTGTTACCAGTATCAATCATATTTTTATATATTGCTACCAGTATCAGTCATATTTTTCTGTATAGGATATAAAAGATGACTGGTATATTCCAGTAATAATAAAAGTTTCTTGTTGTCAGGTAATGCGTATAGAGCATGATAGCGACGATGGCAATGATGACGACAGTGTTGATGATGATAATGTTCGCATGGTTAGCCTCTGTAGACAGCATTCAATGGAGAAAATGTTTGACTCCAATCTGAGATTTTGTAGCCCAGATGCTCTGTGTACGACTACATTAACGGTATCTGCTTAACAAAATTATGAGTTGATCCTCTTAATATTTTTTTATTACATTTTATGCTGGATTGATTTTATCAATTCAGATTTCAAGTAATTATAAAACTTCAGTTACAAGAAATGGAACGGCTATTTTTTTTGTACGTAACTGTGGAAGGTATCGCTGGTATGCTATCACTTAGCGAAGATGTGGTTTCGGACATTTATGAATATTGGAAGTTGCGTCGTATTGATAATGGATACAAACCACTACTGAACGATAAATCGGAGGTTGAGCGACAAATAGCTGTTCGTCTGCGATCATCTCCCTTTGCTGTTCTGCCTGGTAGACAACGAAACGAAGCAGTAATACGGCAAAATTTGGAAAAGGTCATTATTTTGTTCGAACTTTTTTGATTTTTTTTTCTTATAGATTGATTTCATTATACTCTCAATATTTATTTCTACAATAGATATCTTAGCATGGAAATTACCTAATTTTATGAAATCCATCAGAAATCATTAATCAATTTCTTTCGGCCTTACTGATTCCACTCATCTGCAAGTGAATGTTGTAATCTATGTCACACCATAGCAATATTTAATTAGTATATGATCATATCCACTTTATACCTTATCGGTATATCGAATCAGGCAATGATTGGTTATTATGTGAAGGTTAATGTTAATGATGTTGTTGTGCTGATTACAGGCGCGTAATTTATGTTATATGGTAGGAAAACGAGAGAAGATCAAATTATGTGCATTGCAATGCTGGATTAATACATACAAATATGTCTATCAGATGCTAACTGAGAAGAATGTTCCTTATAGTAGCAGAGTCTTAAAAAAATGCATTCATGCAGTGAGCTCGATGCAACAAGCATCATCAGACTCAGGTGATGTTGCAATTTCATTAGAAAATCTTGTTTCGTCGCTGAGATCCCCATCTCCTCTGCGAAAGCAATTGTCAACAAACAATCGCATTCGCGAAAGAAATGGATTATCGCATCACTTGCGAAAGCACGCCTTGCAGAAGGTTCTTTTCGCTGCAGATACATTTATTAAAAATTCCCAAGAATCATTTGCCTCGGGTCGTTATAGTTTGCGGGCATAATTGTAAATTCTTTTTTATTAATATTTGCTTCATTTAATTAGGTTTTTATTTGTGAATATGAATATTTTGCGGTAATGAATGCTGATGTTATCTTGTGATTTACTTCATTTTTATTGTAATTTAGCATTTCTTGTGATGTCAAGGTAAGGAAGAGAATATGATCTTAGGCATTATATAAACAATTCTGGAAAGCATTTCCTTCCAGAACTTTGTGATTTTAGGCGAAGAAAATGAAAAATTCGTTTCCATGTGTAATACTGTTTTTCTGTTTTCATTGTATCTTCATACCATGTGTTAAAAACATTTCAAATGTGCAATTGACGTTTCTGATCCATTGCACTGCTATTTCAAAATCCATTCTGAATTGATTGATTGCTGTTTTTCTGAAATTAATTTCTTTGTCCTGGTGAATTATACTGAACTGCAAAAAACATAGGTAAAATTATAGTTTTAAGCATCGATCTTTCAAATATTGACCAGTACTGAATATACTCTGATTTAATCAGAAGTTAGATTAATTGTAAAATTACATTAGTCTTATTTTAATTATCTAAGTGGTTTTTCGACGAATTGATATGTTACGTTAACAATACATTCAAAAAATTACTTTTTTAAAATGAAAATTAAACAAACATAAAGTAAAAAAAGAACTAAATGAACATAAAGTAAACAATATGAAGTTTGCTATTCTTGACATATTTTCATCATCTACTCACGTTCTTGTGCAATCATTGCGTACTGTCAAGGATATTAAAATTTTATTTAGAAAATTCTTAGTTTAATATTAGTTAGTCAATTAATCTTTTCAAGTTTAAATATGTAGTTGAAGTTCGTTTTTCCGACGGATTTCTGTAAAATTTTTTATAAATCCCATAAATTTTTGTCTGTGGAAATCTTTATCTTTAACTTCAACTAATCAATGTCAGAATAAAATTTTGAAGTTCGGTAGAATCTCTTCTGTTAAACTTTTTTCATAAATACAATGTTAGCTTTACAGTAGCATCTTAACAATTTTCATAAAGCAACATACGTCACTAATAATAAGTATTAGAACAAATAATTAATAAAGTGATAATTTATCAAAACAAGCAATAATACGTGGAAAAATTTGTGAATGTAATTTTACTTGAAATTTATTATAAACTGTAGGTTTTTTTTTTGCTTTTTAACTCAATAAACAATAGTAATTATAATTGGTGAATATCGAAACATGATATGTAATGTGATATACCGTACACATATGCACAACAAGGTAATCAGGGATAGTATCAGTTTAACGATTCGTTCCATTTCTTGGTTGAATGGCATTATATCATCGAGTGGTATAATATTTTCAACATTTTATCAACATTATCTATAAAATTTTTTTTTTAGTTATAAATTTTTATTTGAAAAGAAAATTTAATTTATCATGTATTTACGTGAGAAAATTTTATAAACAAATTTCTTTTTTTCTTCAAAAATTGAGCAAAAGAAAGGATGTTGCTGTTGCAATACCTAAAAATCTTTTGGTCTCAACATATACAGTATCTTTAATGAGCGGATAGAAAAAAAAAGGACGAGAGAAAAGAAACCATTATTATCAAAACTTCAAAATTCAAAAACTTTCGGAAACTCAATGAATATACGTGTGTATTTTAGTGGAAAGAAAGCAAAGGAAAAAAACTTTAACAAAATTTTAATTTGTTTCGCTTCAAATATTATTGCTCGCTAGTGCTTATAATTTTGTTAATTTCTTCGTTTCAAAATTCCTATAAGCTTTATTAAAATCATTGTATGGAATTCTAATCTCATTAATTTTTTTTCCATCTATTATATTTCGAATATTTTAATTTTGTCAATAATTTTTTTGCTTTTTTTATTTTTATTTTTCTAAATCAATTTGTAAGGATAAGAAAGAGAAAATCAAAACTTTCATTCCACTCTCTATAGTGTTTCCATCATTTTCTATCGCGTACAACGCAAAATTCATCTCTGAAAAAATGTTTTCATTAAAATTTCAATATTCAAATGGTATCATATTTATAATTATCAGTAATGTAAAAATGTAAAAGTTTTATAACATATATTCATTATTTTTTCTTGTTCTCAACAGAACATAATTGAGAACACGAAAAAGTAATGAATATATACGATAGAGTTTTAAATAACTGAAAAAATGGCTTCATCAAAAATTAATAATTAGAAAACTGATAACTAGAAAAGAGGGAAACAACATATGTCATTGTGGAAAAGAAAAAAATTAGAAAAAGTAATAAGAATTTTTATTTTCTCTCTTTAGCTGAAAAAAATTTACAAAATCTTTTTCCAAGTTTTATTCAAAATTTCTAGTAACATTTACTTTTGTGATATTTTGGCGCAATTATTATCGTTTATTACGATTATTATTATTTTTTACTACGATTATTACTTGTAATTATACATTTAGAATAAAATGGATGACTAATTGATAATTGACCTGAATGAATTATTCTCTCTGATCCACTGTTGATTATCATTGATACAATTTTCACATCGATCATTTTCCAAATTTTATTGCTAGCAAAAATTCAAGTAATGGAAAATTATTTGCGCATATAATTAGTTAAAAGCTATTTTTGATGTAATCAAATGATATGAACATTTATTGGAATGCTAACCGATTGAATCACTATTCATAGCTAATCCTGTAAATTAACAAGTATTTTTTGGAATATATTGCTTCCATTGTGTCCAATTTGAAATATTTATTAACGACCAAAAAATGAACAGTATGAGAATGAAATGACTAACATAAATGTAATAAAACTTTCTAAAATATACGACAGAATTTTTTTCCAATTTTTGAAAAGTTTGTAAAATTTTCTTTGATAGCTTCCAGTGCTGGAAATTTTTTCAATTTTTATTTTTTATTTTTATTTTTTGGCTCTACTTTTTGCTCCTTCTGTGACAATTTGTTCTAATTTCGTAATTAATCAACAGCCCTAACGCTCACGCCTTATTCTTCTATTTACAAAAAAAAAAATTTTTAGTATGAGTAAATTAAACATAATACGCTAATTGAAAGCTGTTATAAAAGAAGGGACATTATAAAACAAAGTGTAAAATATAAAGGAAAAATTTTTCGTACAAAAAAAAGACAATCTAATAATTTTCATTCACTTTAATTTTTTTAATTTGATGATTTGTAAGTTCACAAAATGCTTTTTCTTAAAAAAACCAACAAATTTAATCATTCCAAATTCCTAACTTTATATTTGTCGAAAATAAAAACTTTCCCTACGGTTTTATTTAGATTTAATAATTTTTTCCTATTTTTCTTATCAAATCAGTTGCTTAGATTAATTCTAAATGTTTTTAAATAAAAATTAAAAAGAATTTCATAAACGAACAAATTATATGAAATTAATTTTTGGAAAATATTTTGAAATTTAAATCATGAAATGCTTCTTTATAAATATCCATTGTTCGTCGAAAATAAAAACTTATGACGTTATCTGTTAAAATATTCCGTTCAATCAAACTTAGTAATTCATTTCTTCGACGCCTTCTCATTCGGTGAAATTTAATTACAATATGATGTGGCCTATCGTATAACTGTTAATAATGTAATCACTAATATATTTTGATTAATTTATTACATCATATAGCAGACCATATAAATAATATTTTAAAAATAAAGATTTTTTTTCAAAAAAATTTAGCTAACAGCGATTAGTTTGCAAATAAAATATTTCGCCTAATATTCTTTTGACAAGGAATTCATTACTTTTTATTGAATTGTTGTAATGATAATTTAAAAACAATATTTGTTGCTTAGAATGACAAAATTTACTATCATTAATTTTTAAAATTTACTATCAAAATTTACTGTTATCATCAAATTTTTTTTTTTGACAAAACATTCAACATTCAATTTATATTATTGTCAATCTTAGCCTCAATTAATATATACCTTCAGAAAAAGACTTTTAACAAATTAGGCGTGTTAATAAATCTTTAACTTTATTGAAATGAATAAATCTGGAAAGAAAGACCGTTACCAATTTAAAAGACCACTTTAAGAAATTGTCGAAAAAAATATTTCATAGTTTACGGGCAGTGAAAAAAAAATTGACTGCAACTTTTACCTTTTTGAAATGATAATTGTTATCAATTTTTATCATTGCTTAAAATTATTAGTAATGTTTTCTTTTATTGAATAATTGCAAATATTAGAAAAAATAAAAGTGGTTAGTAATGGAATAATGCAAATTACTATTAATTATGAAAAATACTTTCGCTTTTATTAAATCATACATCATAAATTCATTAATTTACATCATCGATAAATTCATTTATTTTTATGTATTTACTTCCACACAGATATATAATAAATATCGATATAATCAAATACAATTTAATCAAGTTTTACAAAGATCAGGGAAATATCAATTAATGATACAATAAAATGCTAAGTGAAAATTCCTTACTCATATTTTCCTTCATTTTAATCAATTCATTCATTTATATTTACTTTATATTTATCTATCTCTGTCTATACATTTCCATTTTTAAGAGATAATACAACCTTGTTATCATAACAATTGTATGCTTGCTTCGATAGATAAAATAGTCTTAAATTATTTTTGTGTTTTTTTCTTTAAAAGATCTGAAATTTTTTACATTAATTAAAATTAATGAAAACATTTTTTTCTACATTATTCATAATTAGCAGCGCTAATTATTATACACAAAAAAAATTTCAGAAATTGTATAAAAAAATTTTTAGAAAATTGCAGATATGCAAGTTTGCTGATTAAATCATTTCGAAAAGTCATATGCGAAAGAAAATGAAAGTTGCAAGAAAATTAGCAATTCCCACATTTATTCTGCTGCGAAGTATTTACGCAATGATTACAGTTAACCAATATGAATGAATTTTTCTTTTTTTTGACTAAATAAATATGAAATGAAAGTTTTTCTCTCGAATTTTAATTC